ACAATTAAATGCTAACATCTTGTACTCTGAGAAACTAATTTAAAGCTAAAAAATATGCAATGTATTCACCAATGTCACTCTCCTATTATCTTGTGAAATTTTATTTTATTTTTTCTCTTTAAAATACATTCTACCCTTGTCCAGGGAGATGGCTCAGTGGAATAAGCGCTTCCCTGGCAAACGCAAGGGCCTGAGTTCAATCCCTGGTTCCACCCAAAAAAAAAAAAACAAAACAAAAACATTCTATCCTTGAAGGACAGTGTTGTCCAACTGTATCATAAAATCAGACTTGTAGTACTCAAGTTTGGAACTGGGATCTAGTCACTGCCTCAGGCCGCATGAGGATGCTTCCCACAAGGTAGACCCTCCTGCACCACTGAGCTGCTTGGCTACAACAGAAACGCCCATGGTTTTCATTAAACTCACATTTTCCAAGTACCTGAAATGGAACCTTGTCTCCACTTCCTTTTTCTTTCAATCAGTCCATGTTTTGATACTGTTTTTTAAAAATCAGCTAAAAATTAACCCTGAAAGCTACATAACTGAGAATAAAAATGGACAACAAATATTGTTTCTGGTAGCAACTCGCCCTCAAGGGTGAGATAATACTTTTAAAAATTCTTATTCACTTAAACTTGTACATATAATCCTGAATCCCCCGAGACGCACTATACACAAGCACAGACACCTACGCACTACCGGTGCCTGCCTGCTAAGTACAAGGTCCGGAGTTTGATTCCTGATACAAAAAATAAAAACATTAAATAAAAGAAATTATACCTTCTCAAATTAGCAAAGACTAAAAACTGAAAATATTAAATAATGGCAAGGGCAAAATGGGTGCTTACATCTTCCTGGTGGAATTAAGACCTAGTTACAACCTCTCTAAAAGGCCACTTCGCAATCCAACTGTGTCATTAACAATCAAGATACCTCCAAAAATAACTGAAGACAGAATTATGATCAGAAACTTAAATCCACTATTATTATCATTATAACCAAAAATTAGAAATCATCTAAAAGTACAAAGTCGAGGGAGGGTTAAGCGATCCCCGGCAGGTACTAACAGGAGGCCCTGCACGATAATGCTGAGGAGCGCTGGCCAGAGCTGCAGGCTCGCGCCGAGCTGACTACTCACCTCTACAGAGTAAGACATCTCTTCATTACAGTTGTCATTGATCTTCTCAAAGAGCTCTTCACACAACTAAGGAAGGAGAGGAACAGCACAAAAGGCCAAATCAGAGAAGCATTACATTATCCACAAGTGCTAAAGAAATCCGTGAGGCCTGGTTCTTTCTCTCCCTCGACACGCACATTATAACCTCAAGGGATGATTACTGCTTTGAGTGAACTTTAAGAACTGTGACTCCCCTCTTCTCACTTAAGCTCTATTCTCCCTCACAACGGAGCCTCCATCCTGTTCCTTCAGGATTAGAAAGCCACATCCAGAGGAAGCGGGGAGTGTCTCTTCCAGAGTCGCAGCACCAGCCGCTGCGCCCTGGGGATCCTACGCCTCATACTGCGCTCGCGCAGCTGGGACCCTCCTGTTGACACTACCTTCAGCACAGCTGTTACGAAATGGTGTTTGCACATGTGTCACTGAAGCCACACACAGCTTATCCTCCAGCCAGCGACCGCTGATCCTGAGACAGAATTACACTGTGTGGAGAAGGTAAGTGAAGGTCTACTCAAGAATTTAGATAGTATAAAACTTTCTTTTTATCATCTCATGACTCCCACCCTTGTGAGAAACGCTATTCTACTACATGGTTGACATTTCAACAAAAATCAATTTTTCTAGGTTAAGAAAACTACAAATTTCATCCTTTGTATCCCTTGAATTTCTGATTTAAAATATGTGACATTCATGTCAGACACTGACAAAAGGATGTACAAAGGGCGGTACAGGGCTACAGGATAAATCCTGAGAGTACTTGGCTGACCTTATCTGATACAAAAGTCACATTTCTTGTTATCTAGGTCTTGCTATATCTTGGTCTTAACCATCCAGCAGAAAAGTATAAAAATGAGGTATATAAAGTAAATCCATATTAATACGATGAGCTGTAAAAGGCTCAAGTCAATAACTTCTGAGGATAACCCACTAATATTATAGACTGCTAGACAGTGTTAGATTGTTTAGTTGAATTCAAACACCTATAGTATTTAGATGCCAACAGAATATGCACCTCTGACAGGACAAAAAAAAAAAAAGGATACAAAGGAAAGATCATTTTGTATTTATATATACAAAATAATTAGGATAAATTTACAGCTACTTTTGCTTAATTCAATGAGAAGAAAGAGGTGTACTAACAGTGTTTGGACAGGATATCCTGTCTGCTTCTTGTACTATGGATAACCACTAAGAAGACAACAATGTACAGTGTATAGACTATCAAAACTGTCCTATTAATCAGCTGTGAAACTGTCTCATTCACATTTATTTCTCAATAAAAAATAAATTAAAGGGCTGGTGAGATGGCTCAGTGGTCTAAAGCACCTACTTAGAACAAGCTTAGCAAAGCACAGTGACCGCAGTTCAATCCCCCAGCACCACATGCCAGCCAGCCCCGCCCCCTGGTGGGCTGAGCTGGCCACACACACACACACACACACACGCGCAAAATAAATAAATAAATAAATAAAATAAAACATATAGCTTAAGTATAACTTGCTATAAACAATTATTCTATTGCTATTGTCTTCATTTGGGTCATGGCACTCTCAATTGAGCAATTCATATGATCTCTCTGTACCTCAGTTTTCTTGTCTGTAAAATGGGAGGGGCAAGCAAGGTGTGGCAGTGCATGCCTTAAATCCCAACACTTGGGAGGCTGAAGCAGGAAGATTCCTGAGACTCTGAGGCCAGCCTGGTCTACACAGTGATCTCTTCTTCAAAAAAACAAAAACAAAACATCCCCCCAAAAAATAAAATGAAAAAGGAAGGTACAAATGTATCTACCTATCTCTTAGGGTCCAACGAGGAGGCTCAGATAAGCTATTTGTAAAGTACTCACACCTGTGCTACTACTACAGTCAAGCAAGAACAATTCCTAAATACATGTCTTAATACAGATTAATTTTAGTGTACTAGTCTAGTATTTTTTTCTAAAAATGGCCTCATTTTATTGATAATTATTTCCTTGATGGCTGAATTTAAAATTATAGTCTAATAAAACACAAAAGAAAAAGGAGTCATCTTACTCACTCTTAGAATATAGAAATGGTGGCATTAGCCATGTGGCAAAAGAACACCCTAAAATTAACCCCATGCCTATGCCATGTAAGGCCTGAGTTCAATGAATCACTAAAAAAAACCGACTTAAATTAACCTCAAGTATCATTAACAAAAGCAAACTACAACCTTGTTGTTTAAAAAGTTGCCTCTACTTTTTCTTCTTCCAAACAACAAAAGATGAAATTATTCAAAAGAATTATTCAAGGGCAGGCCTAATAGCTCAGCAGACTAAAGCACCTGCTTAGGCAGAGCACACTGGCCAGGGTTCAATCCCCAGCTTGCCAAGCATGCTGAGACAGTGATTGAGACTGGGCATGGTAGCACGCGCCTGTAATCCCAGCACTTGGGAGGCGGAAAATAGGAGAATCACTGTGAGTCTGATCTATGCAGTGAGACCCTGTAGACCTGTAGACCTGTCCTAAATACAGAAAAAAAAAAAAAAGAAAGAAAGAAAGAAATAATTCAAATTGAACTTGTTCTTTTTAAAAAATCTCAAATTGCTTGAAAATTTAAAGTAACAGTATTAAATTTGCAAGATAAAACTAAAGCATCTCTGAATAAGAACATCAAAAAAACAAAAATAAAGTTAGGTGTGGTGGCACATGTCTGTAATCCTAGTACTGGGGAGAATGGGACAGGAGGATTGCTATGAGCTCAAGGCCTCCCTGGGCTACATAGTGAATTCAAGACTATGTAAGACCCTGTCTCAAAAAAAAAAAAAAGCCAGTGGGGAGCCAGATAGGCATGAAGCATGCATTGTAATGCCAACTACATAAGCTGAAGCAGGGAGATTGCAAGCTCAAAAGCAATTTGTAGGGGCCAGGGAGATAGTTCACAGGAATAAGCACTTGCCTGGCAAGCGAAAGG